TATTTTTTTTAAACTTTATTTGAGGGGCACCTGGGTGGCTCAGTTGGTTAAGTGTCTGCCTTTGGCTCAGGTCATGATCCCAGGGTTCTGGGATCAAGCCCAACATCGGGCCTCCCTGCTTAGCAGGGAGCCTGCTTCTCCCTCTCCCTTGGCAGGTCCCTCTGATTGTGCTCTTGCTCTCTTTCTCTGTCAAATAAATGAAGTCTTTTTAAAAAATAAAGTCTTTAAAAAAAAAAAAGACTATTTACTTGAGAGAGAGAGTGTGAGAGAGCATGAGTCAGGGGAGGAGGAGAGGGAAAGGGAGAAGCAGCCTCCTCACTGAGCAGGGAGTCCCACATGGGGCTCAATTCCAGGACCCCAGGATCATGACCTGAGGCAAAGTCAGACGCTTAACCGACTGAGCCACCCAGGCACCCTTAACCTTTTTTTTTTTTAAAGATTTTATTTATTTATTTATTTGACAGAGAGAGACACAGCGAGAGAGGGAACACAAGCAGAGGAAGTAGGAGAGGGGGAAGTAGGCTTCCCGCAGAGCAGGGAGCCCGATGCGGGGCTCCATCCCAGGACCCTGAGACCCTGAGACCATGATCTGAGCCGAAGGCAGATGCTTAACGACTGAACCACCCAGGTGCCCCTAACCTTTTTTAAAGGCTATAAATGTATGGAACAATGCTAGACCAATTCTCAGGTTGGCTTAATCAACCTCTTTGATGGTGGGCCCAGAGGAGGCACCACCAGAGGGAGAGAATAGGTCTAGCATTGTTCCACACAAATATTCAAAGGACCCAAATTTGTAGCAAATTCCATGGCAGTTTTAAAGTTGAGCTGCTATAGTAAATAAACTGGACATTCTTGATACTTGAATATGGAATATGTGCACAGGGAAAGGAAATAAATATTGCACTTTATAAGCACTGTATTGTTAAGTGGAAAATCAAATGTCTTAAATAAAATTGTATTTAAAATTGACATCCAAAAAAAAGACTATAAATGTATTCAAATATTAATAACTCTCATATACCTATATCTCTATATCCTATATCTACATAGATAGATAGATCTGTATCTACATCTATAAATATTTAGATGTATATCTCCTAGCCTAAATAAAGAGAAAGGACCATGATATCCCTAAGTGGACATGGAGGGCTCTTTCCATGGTGTTCAAGTGAGTCCACATGGTACCCCCGGTTCTGCCTCCACCACAAGAGACCTGAAGCTCCTTCCAATAATTTACAGACTGAAAAAGAGCACAGTAGGAAATATTGTAGGGGGTCACAATTTGGGATGATGAGGTGAAAGGAGAATTTGAAGTGAACATTTAAAACTGGGAAAATTAATATCAATGTACTCTTTCATCCCAACTTATAATGAAAAGTCTCCAGCAATTAAGGAAATATTTAGGAGAGAGCAGTACAGATTACCCAAAAGGACTAATACTCAGGAACTACAACAAGGAAATCTAGAAGTTTTAACACTAATAAACTGTCAGAATACCTGTCTTTGGTGTATTTAAACATACCCTGGGAGACAGACCATGAGGTGAAACAAGGAGAGCTCTTTTACACCTACTTGCCATGCAGAACAAACATCTACTTCCTCCATATGCTCCCATGAGGGCCAGGCAATGAGAGCCAGATTTAAGCTTGGGTTTTTCTGCCTAATATTAGCCTAGGTTCCTTCTCAAAAATAGAGCCTGAGATAAGGGTCTGAGTGCAGGTAGTGTAGTTTGTAATTAATTCCTGGAAATAGGAGTTCTTGGAAGAAAGAAGTAGGGAATGAGGGAAAATGACTTCAATGGTACATTCTGTAACTCATCATCACTGTGGGTAATGGAAGCTCAACCCCACTGAGACACTGAAAAGTTTGTGTAGAATGAGTTGTTTGTGTAGAATGCACTGAGAAATTCCCACCCAAGAGATGTTTTTCTACCAGTTCTATCCACCACTGGTCAAGTCTAGAAGCCCTATACGGTTCTCAATCTTGGCCACTTATCAGAATCACTTGGAGCATTTTTATTACCCTGATTCCGGCTGCAAAGTAAAGCAACTAAGTCAGAATATCTGTGGGTGTACTCAGGAATCTATTTTTTAATCATCCCCTAGTGTTAGTCATTCTTGAGAACCACTGCCCTAGACGATAATGCCCTGGTATTTCCAGATATATGTACGAGGGTCAGGAAGTTTCCCCCAGTGTTCTACACCAGAGCATCAGAGAAGCCCCAGGGTGTGCAGGGGAAAAGCATCTTGGTGCAGCTGAGGTGAGGCACTTTCAGATACACCTGTAAAAGGTGGGCAGAGAGCATGAGTCAGGGCATGAAATGGCTGATGCACTGTCCCCACTGTGGCTGTCTACCCACTCCCAGTTCCAAATATAACAGACAGCTGGGGTGAGAAAGATAACATGCATCACTCCTGAGAAAGGCAAATGTGAAATTACTAAGAGCCCAGAACAATCCTTAGTTATCCTTGATCACCCTGAGGCTCCTTTTAATCATATGCACCACATATAGTTGCTACTCCATTAATGAGTGAACTAAAAAATTCTCAAAGACACCAGTGATGCAGCCTCAAGGCAGGAAGGAATACATCCCTGGAGTAACCTCTTCATTCTGCCACCTACCCAACATCAACAGATTTGTGTTACTTATATGTAGTATCCCATAATATATATCCCATAATCCCCCAAATCCCCAAAATACCTCAAGATTTTGAATTTGTCTTGGGTTTAACAGAAAACTATATTTTGCAATGATATTTGATGGGAAGATTTTAATACAGTATCACCAGAGTTGGACTCTACAAAAGGTGGGGGATTTTCCTGTTGCCTTGGGGAGAAGAGAGATTCCCATGATCCACCCACCTCCCATTTATTTCTAGAAGAAATGTCACTAATATCTTTCTGTACACAAAGACAGACTAAAAGGCATGGCTTCAATGTCTCGGACATGCGGTGTGACCTTGCAGTAGTTACTAATATTGTCTATGCCTTAGTTTTTTATCTTCAAATTAAAGCACTGGATTATATAATCTCAAAGAATCTTTCCATCTGAAAAATTCTATTTCATTTTAAATTCCCTTTAGGTATCAATTTAAGGAACGAGTTTTGTTGTTGTTCTTAAATATCTCAATTAATAATGTCTTTCCAAAATGTGGGTAGGATGACAATGAGTTTGGCAAATATGTACAGATCGCTGTCTTAGATTTTAAATTTACTCCTCACTGTGAGTTTCTATTAACTTTACAGTCTGTATCAAGTCTAGCCCTCATTTTATACATATAGTTCTTTTTACCAATTAGTCTGAAAGCTACTTAAATATAAAGCTGTGTCTCAAACATATTTACCGTCTTCTATATTGCACAGAAAGTCCTGTCTACTCTGGAGGTGCTTATCATTAATTACTAAATTAAATACGATTGAAACTAATTTCCCCCAAACATACAGCTAACTGCTATAAAAAGAAAAAAGAATTGTAAGTCTATCAAGTTTTCTTCTTTCACTATTCAATTCCATATTCCATTCAACAAATGTATTAATCAATGTTGGATACTGGGCATCAAGAAGTGTTTACTGTAGTGCCCGAGTTTTCTGTGGTGTGAAAGAAACTTAACAAGTGTGGCATTAGAATTATAAGCTTCAATATTTGTAATACATTTTGGGTTAAATGAAAAGACTACAAGCTGCAATTATATTTGATGGGAAAACTAAAAAGGAAATAATTATATTGACCATAATTACTTTGAGAATTCAAACAGTATGCCGGTCATAATTCTTCTCAGCAACATAAAAGAGAGACTGTGGAAGACTATTTTGGTGACCTAAGACAATAAACTCTAATAGATCAACCACAGAAGAACTGCTTCAGGTTTAAAACTATGCATGCTCTATTTTTTTGTTAGAGTTCTTATTTATGAGTACTCTCATTCAAGAAGAAATTAGTGTGGGCTGTTTTATCATAGTTGTTGTTTTATTTTTCTTTTTTCTTTTTTGTATTTTGTTTGTTTGTTTCATCTCTCAGGAAAGCAGTCAAATAATGTTTAAGCATGAAGTTGGCCCCATGTGATACGGCTCCATATTAACTACAAAGTTTAAAAAAGATGTTTGTCATAGGAAATAGTATTTGTTCATTGGGCTTTAAAATATGTTTTTAACAATAAATTGAATTTTCTCACTCAAGGTGTAAATTAATTTATCAGCTTTGTTGTGACTAACTCACACTCTTTAAACAAACTCACCAATGTGCTAATTAATTTGTCCCAATCTTTTTTCATAAGAATTTTTTTTGTCCAGGTTTATCCCTGGAGAGCTGCTTGAAATAAAGGCTACCTGAAGCTGATTCTGATTCAAATAAAACATAATGGGTTTTTTTTTCTTCTTCTATAAAAAGGGTGGCCCTTAATTTTGTGATTGGGGTCCATATTTTAATTATTCTTCTAAAGCAAATAAACATGTCTCCTTTGGGTGATTTTATAAATAACAATATTTTTACCTTGGAGGCAGTGGAAAGATATTTGTCGGACAGCTTATATTATAGCCCAAACTTGTACAAAATAAAATACTGCCAGAGGCAAGTCCTCTTTCAGCATCTCCCTTGCTTTGTACAATCCTATTCCCCACCTGATGTCTCCATCCCCTTCCCTCTGGGCCTCAGAGCCCTGCTGCTTTCACAAGCCTTTCCCAGGCCAGCGGCCACTACTCCCAGTCTACTACCACCCTTCCCTCCCAGAGGTCAGGGCAGCAGCAAATGAAGCAGGAAGCCACAGACAAGGTACAGGGCTCAGGGCACAGCATAACCACAGATGGCTTGACTGGAGTTTAAACAGTGAAAATACGATGTCTGACCACATAGGGAAAAAAAATTAGCACCTGCCGAGACCCTGTGCACAGAGGTCCAAGCACAGCCATTGAATTGAGGGCATGGCCCATTAGCTGTTCATTGGATGCTAGTTTCCCCTCCCCCCGACCCCATATACAATGTGTCATCTCAGGTCTTTCCTCACCAATGTCACCTCTGACGTCTTTCTTCATCATTTTCCACCTCTTTCCTTTATCCTCAGCCTATCCCACCATTCTTTCTTCGTTCTCTAGAAAGACGATGTCTCTCCAAAAGGAAAAAAATTTTTCCTGACCCTGTGTCTTGCTCTTTACCCAGTGGCTCTCAAGCAGGGTAACGTCCAGAGACACAACTAGGGGAGAGGTTACTGCTTGCATTCGGCGGTAGAAGCCAGGGATGCTGCTAAACTTCCTGCAAAGCGCAGGACAGCCCCCACAGCAAAGAATCATACAGCTCAAAATGTCAGCAGTGCTGGTTTTGAGAAATCTTGCTTTATTTTTTTTTTTTTTAAGATTTTATTTATTTATTTGTCAGAGAGAGAGCGCGTGCACAAGCCGGGGGCGGGGGGGGGCGGGTGCGGCTGGCAGAGGGAGTAGCAGGCTCCCCGCTAAGCAGGGAGCCCAATGTGGGACTCAATCCCAGCACCCCGGGATCATGACCCGAGCTGAAGGCAGATGCTTAACCGACTGAGTCACCCAGGGGCCCAGAGAAATCTTGCTTTAGACATCACTATACACTTCACAGCTAGACTTCCTGCCACGTCCTCTACCCTTAGCTTCCTACCACCACCTTTCCAATTCACTGCTGAACCCACAAGAATTTGCTGCCTGCCCTCTCTGTTCTAGTCACACTGCTCCTGCAAAGCTCACACACAATTCTCATACAGAAAAACTCAGTAGATACTTTAGTCTCTCTTTTCTTCTTTGCTTTTCAACAAAGAATGCTTTTCAAAACTGCAGTCTCTTCTGGTTTCTGTGACCTCCTCACTTCATGGGCATCATCACTAGTACTTGCAGGATAAAATCTGAATACCTCTGCCTGGCTCCCAAGATTCTTATCTCCTTGTCTGCCATTGAATCCCAAATGTCTTCTACTCACACATGGCTTTCCAGCCATGCAGTTTAACTATGTGCAGATTCCCAAAGAAGCCAGGTGCTGTCTAATCTCTTCTTTTCTACACGTGCCATTTACTCTGCCCAGAAGTCCTTCCCACCAGCCTACCTACTGAGTCCTTACCCAGCTTTCCAATTTGGGGCAAATATCTCCTCCACTCTGACGACTGCCTATGTTGCAGACAGAAATTTGTGCTGCTCTGGGTGTCTCCTGCTTGCATGACATAGAACTTCTAACACTTTGAGTTTATATCTAGTTTTTCCATATTCTCTCATCACCCCTCCCCATGAAAATAGGAGCCCCTGGATCTGGGTTCTCCATATTTTGTATACCCAGAGCCTACCATAGTGCCTGGGAAATGGCTGGTGCTAAATAATAAAAGTTTGTAAAATGAATAAGTCATTTCAAAGCAAAAAATATAATTATCATCTCAATGAACCCTCCAGCTATATCCCACTACCTTTATTATTTTTTTTAATCCCACTACCTTTAAATGCTCTCTGTTTTTCCCTCTGTTCCCCACCTCTTGTTAAGGAAAAGACCCATGATCTCTAAACCATCAAAGCTTGGGGTCACTAGAAGTTAATATAATGAATCAGCCTATTTCAGAGGTGAAGGAGCTGAGGCACGGAGAAGCTAAGGAACAGAGCCTAGTGCCCAGAGTGGGCTCTTACGAGGTCCTTGGAAGACAATGAGTGGGGAAGCCAGCTCAATTAGAGCAGGAATAAAAGAGGTAGGGGCTATGTCCCTTTATGATATATAAAGTTCACCTGAATTGACTGAAATATTAGCATCTTCCAGGCAGTGATCAGCTAGATGGGTGTAGCAGATATTATGCATGACTCTAATATACTTAGTTTTGTTTCTTTGTTGTTTTTGCTGTTTTGTTTTTTGACTGGGGCTGCTGACTCATAGTCAGGCATCACTGAATGTGACCTGGCTTTGCTCTACTGTACTTATACTCGTCAAATATTTCCTAGTGTGCATAGCATAGCCAAGCAAACAGCCTCCCCAAACACAATTTCCTGTTTTTTTTATTCTTCCTGACACATTTGCCTCTGACAACCTTTCCAATTAGACATGGTCATTTTTTTTTTTATTTTATTTATTTAAGTAATCTCTACCCCCAACATGGGACTCAAACTCAAGACTCCAAGATCAAGAGTCACATGCTCTTCCGACTGAGCCAGCCAGGAACACCAGACTAGTCATTCTTGAGACTTAATTCCCAGTTCAAAAGTGAAGACAAAACCCCAACTTGGTCTAAATCAAAATTAAATTAAATTCATGGGTGCCTGGGTGGCTCAGTCATTAAGCGTATTCCTTCGGATCAGGTCATGATCCCAGGGTCCTGGGATCAAGCCCCGTATCGGGCTCCCTGCTCGGTGGGAGTCTGCTTCTCCCTCTCCCACTCCCCCTACTTGTGTTCCTGCTCTCGCTATCTCTCTCTGTCAAATAAATAAATATCTAAAAAAAATGTAATTAAATTCATATCTATGTTGGTTTAAAAAAATGTTGTCAACTAAGCCAGCTCAGTGGAACACAAAAGGGAAAAACGGGTCCAAATTTGTTTGTCCAAAGGGTTATATCATGTCTTAAGGTAAATGTTAGTCAAAAGGTAGAGTTTATACAAAATCCCAACAAAAAATGGCATTCCGTTTGAAAAAGCAGTTTCTATAAAATTGTATGTTTATTTATACATAAAATACAATATATGCTATATATCATACTTCAAAATATATACAATCTGTATCAATATTTTATAAGGAGAGCTATATTGACATGATGTAATTGTGTTATAATTTTGAAAATCACAACAGTATGTTTGAACAATTTGTTTTGTTTTAACAGTATGTTTAAAATGTGGAGCTGAGGGGCTCCTGGGTGGTTCAGTCGTTAAGCGGCTGCCTTTGGCTCAGGTCATGATCCCAGGGTCCTGGGATCGAGCCCCCGATCGGGCTCCCTGCTCCGTGGGAAGCCCGTTTCTCCCTCTCCCACTCCCCCTGCTTGTGTTCCCTCTCTCACTGTGTCGCTCTCTGTCAAATAAATAATAAAATATTTTTTAAAAAAAATAATAAAATGTGGGGGCGCCTGGGTGGCTCAGTTGTTAAGCATCTGCCTTCGGCTCAGGTCATGATCTCAGGGTCCTGGGATCGAGCCCCGCATCAGGCTCCTGCTCAGCGGGAAGCCTGCTTCTCCCTCTCCCACTGCCCCTGCTTGTATTCCCTCTCTCGCTGTCTCTCTCTGTATTAAATAAATAAAATCTTTAAAAAAAAAAATAATAATAATAATAATAATAAAATGTGGAGCTGAACAGCAATTGATGCTTTAATGGAATTTCTCTCTCCAAAACAAATATTTAGCATTCATTATTTATATATATCCCCAAGTAACTTTATTTCTCACTTGCCAGAAGTTTCTTAGAAAAATAAACCTAAAAGAAACAAGCTCTGTTTAAAGATGTTTCAAAAACTCCAGACAACTTATCTAATGTACAAAAATTTCCCACAATTTATAATAGTAGTATGAGAATGTTAAATTCCACTTTTAATGACTATTAAAATTAATTTCCTTTACCATTTTTCTTAACCTAAAAAGCAATTAATAACAGTGGGTAATACTGTTGCTCTATTTTGGGGATACCCATGGGGCTATTTGAATTCTTCTTAACTGAGTTGTGTAAGCAAAGTAAAAAGTTTCTCTGAGAAATAATTAGGCTTTTGAAACGGAGATGTTATTATATTAGGTCAAAGAGCCACAGCTAAATTTATCATTTTCATATGTCTCTTTTCATCTGCTAAATATAATTACCTTGTTATTTGCCTTTTTTAACCATAAAATTCAGTGAATAAATAAAAACTCAATGCAGCTCAACACATAAAAGTTGTTTTTACAGTGATTCAAAATCAAAGCCATCCTTTCCCATCCTGGTCTCATTGAAAATGGTTTCAATTAGAGCAGAAAGGTGCTGATGGGTAATAGCCAATCTGCAGTGAAAGAAACCCCCAACTAGGAGCTAGAATGCACCAGTGTTCAAAGCCTAATTACCCAGATGTCACAAGTACAAAATTACATGCTTTTATAATGTGAAAATAATTAAGATAGGTCACAAAATTCTTCCCAGTCTATTTTAAATCTAGTTATTCCCAATGACCTGAAAATAATCTTTTATTTAGTGACACTTTCCTTGCTGTCTTAAAAATGCACATTGTGACCCCATACCTCTACCTCTGAGCAGAGATGGATAAGATTATGTACTAACACCTTGGCTTCAGGGGAAAAACAAACAAACAAAAAAAAAACAGGAAGTCCTAGCCTACTGCATGGTTACCACTGTGCTAGATACTTTCAAAGACATTTAGCCTCACACTTCAACCCTTTTTGTTGCAGATAAGAATGTGGAGGGTGCCTGGGTGGCTCAGTTGGTTAAGTGACTGCCTTCAGCTCAGGTCATGATCCTGGAGTCCTGGGATCAAGTCCCGCATCGGGCTCCCTGCTCAGCGGGGAGTCTGCTTCTCCCTCTGACCCTCCTCCCTCTTATGCTCTCTGTCTCTCATTCTCTCTCTCGCAAATAAATAAAATCTTAAAAAAAAAAAAAAAATTAAGAATGTGGAGACCCAGAAAGTCTGACTAAACGGCCAAGCCCTCAGTGCCAAGCTGAGATTTTTACCAACTTCTGTTGATCTAGAAGACAGTTTCTAAGAAAATTCACTAGATGAGTCAGATTTAAAGACATGGACACAGAATGGGCCTAGATTAAATACTCAACTAGTGTCACATCCTCTTAACTATGTATCTGAATAATAATTCAACTGAAAAGGAGCAATATTATATGAATAACTAACACATTACACCAGTTGTCTTGGAAGAAGCTCTTTTTCTTCCTTATGTATTCCTAACCTCAAATGGTTTCAGGCATTTATTCAAAATTCACAACCTGCAACTATTAAAAACATGTGCTGAAATTGTAATGATAACGCTCTCATATCAACCTCTACCCATATGGACTGGCCCATCCTACAAAATGCATTGTCACCAGCTGTAAATATAACAGTCATTAGAGCTGACAAAAAGTTTGTAACAGCAAGGTTTCAATCATTCCCTGTCATGATTTCAAGTTTTTCCAAAGTAAGTGAGCATAAGCATAT